TTTGTCTGCCCAGCTGGGGAGCGCGGCCGTGGCTGGGGACACAGGTCAAGGCCCCGAGCGCAGCCAGCGCTGCTCTGCCGGGGGAAACTGAGGCACGCACCCTTGGGGCAGTCAAACATCAGAAGGGAGCGTCGGGAGTGGCTGTGTGGCGCAGGCAGGGCCCGGGGTGCAGGCAGGACCCAGGGCTTCGTGCTCGCTGCCGGCTCCCTCCTGCTGCACGGCTCCAGTGCTGCCATCTGGGCGCGTGCCCGGCGCTGTCTGGCAGCTTCTGCAGGCGCAGTTGGCAGGATCGGTGCCGGGGGGAAAAACGTCCCTGTCCTCGTACCACCTCTCCCTGCCAGAGACCCAGATAGCGGCAGGGGAGCAGGCAGGGCCGTAGCTGGGGCCCAGCCCAATGCAGTAGCGCTGCGTGGTGTTGGCATGGCAGGCAGCTGCCTGTTACTGAGGCAACCTGCCTGCAGCTGCCTTTGCCCCTGTTGCTCCGAGCGTGGATCGCTGCGTCGCTGCAGCTGGAGGGGCATCGGGGTGGGTGCGGGGTGCAGCATCCTGAGAGGACCGGCTTGGCTCTGCCTCGGCCAGCATCTCCGGGGAGAAACTAGGGCAGGGCTGGTTTCTTGGGGGGGATCTGGGGGAGGGGGCTGGGGACAGATTGGAAGGGACGCTGCCTGCGAGCCCAGCTCTGCATGGTGCCACCCACTGCTGTTTATACTGGAGCTCCAGCCTGCTTTTTGCTGGAGATGTCACCTCCGATCCTGTCTCCGCTGCCTGCTTTTCCCCATCCCTCCTTCCCATCTGCGCGTCCTGCGGCGGGGCTGGCACCGTGTCCGGGCTGGGGCGGCGCGTGCGGCGAGGGGAGCTTGGCATCTTCCCTCCTGCCCCAAGATGCAGGCAGGGGTGGGGGTGAGGTGGGAGCGCCCCATTTCCCGTGGTGCTGGCAGGGCTGTGAGCATCCCTGCCTGCCTCCGCCCTGCCCCCCAGCTGGTGCTGCCGAGCCGATAAAACGTCCTTTTTGGTGACCAGCGTGGCGCAGCTTTGTGCCGCCTGCAGCAGCTGCTTCCCATTCCCTCTGCCATGCACCCCCGGGGGCAGCGAGTGCTGGCGGGAGGCTGGGGCAGGGGACAGAGGGGGGGACAGTGCTGAGCCCCCGGGGTTGGTGCTCCCGCAGTGCAGAGTTCACCCTTCGCCCTTCTCCCCCAGTCCTGTGCGCTGAGCGGGTGGTCAGGATCACAAAGACCTACCACGACATCGATGCCGTCACCAACCTGCTGGATGAGGTACGCCGGTGCCTGCCCCGTGCGTGGGCTGGGGCTGGCGGGAGGGCTGGGGCTGGTGGGACCCCGGGGATGCTGGGGGAGAGGGGGCAGAGCAGGGGACGCGCCCCGGCCGACACGGACCTGCCCCTTACAGAAAGAGCGGGACCTGGAGCTGGCGGCGCGCATCGGGCAGTCCCTGCTGAAGCAGAACCGGAGCCTGACCGAGCGCAACGAGCTCCTGGAGGAGCAGCTGGAGTTGGCCAAAGAGGAGGTAATGGCCCCTGGGTGCAGGGTCCTGGCCTCGGCCCCCGCGTGCCCGGCTCGGGGGCCATGGGTGGCCCTGGTCCCCTTGGGCATGCCCTGATGCCTCTTCCCCTCCCAGATCGCGCAGCTGCGCCATGAGGTCTCCATGCGGGATGACCTGCTCCACTTCTACACCACCACCACGGAGGAGAGCGAGCCCACCTCTGCCCCCTCCACGCCGTGAGTGGGGGGTCCCTGTCCCGCCGCTTGAAGGACTGCTCATGGGGGCTGGGCAGAGGCGTTGGGCTGTAGCCATCGCCCTCCCGGGGGTAGTGCTGAGGCTGGTGCCCCCTTCCCTCGCACAGCTTCCATGGGTCCAGCCCCACGGAGCTGGGTCGCTGCAGACACCTGCCTGGGAGCTGGGGGGAGTGGGAAGGGGGCTGAGCGGGCAGCCCCATCCTGCCCGCACTGCGGGTGCTCAGCACCCTCCCTGCATCCCCAGGCTGCGCCGGCAAGAGTCCTCGCTGTCCCTGCAGCAGTACTTCCAGTACGACACCTTGCAGCAGAAACTCAAGTGCCTGGAGGAGGAGAACCAGAAGCTTCGCATGGAGGTGAGCAGAGCCGGCTGCCGGGCACCCCTCTGTGCCCTCCTCTGCCCCCCTCACTGCCGAGGGACCTGAGCCCCCCGGGGAGGCTGGAGGCCCTGGCCCCCGCGCTCAGCCCCGCCGACCCTCGCCCCCAGGCCACCAACATCGCAGCCGAGACCTGTCAGTACGAGGACCAGGAGCAGCAGCTGATGATCGACTGCGTGGAGCAGTTCTGTACGTGGGGCTGGGCTCGTGGGGGGCAGCTCCTCTCTGGGTTTGGGGTGGGGGTCTGCAGGCATTGCCCAGCGTCACTGCGTGGGCTGGGGGGCCGTGCCCTGGCGGTGACAGACCCCGGGCCCTCCCCAGCTGAAGCAAGCCGTCGGGTCGTTTACCTCTCCGACGAGCTGGCCCGCAAGGCGGAGGACACGGCACGGCAGCAGGAGGAGATCAGCCAGCTCCTGGCACAGGTTGTGGACCTGCAGCAGAAGTGCCGCACGGTGAGCAGCCCTGCCCGTGCCCGCAGCGCTGCGGGGTGCGGGGCGCAGCTCCCTGACCTGCCCGCTCCTACCCGCAGTACGGCTCGGAGGTGGAGGAGCTCCAGCAGCACCTGGCCGTGGCGAAGGAGGTGCAGCAGCAGCTCCGGACGGAGGTGAGCCCAGGGAGGGCCTGGCCATGGGTGCTCCGGCTGGCGGGGGG